TGAGGAGGGCCCAAAGTCTTTCGCGGCTCTGTCAGGGGACGCTGCGGTAAGGTACGTAGAGTCAGTGAAGTTCCTCGGCCTCCCGTTCGAGCATTGCTTAGATGGCATTCGTGCATTGACCCCGTCGAGGTGAAGAGAAGGAAAGTAATAAAATTAGTTCATCGATCACTTCAGGTGGGGAGCAGACAATGAGACCCTCCTGAAAATATTTAACTCGCTGCTGCGCTCGATTTTGTTTTATAGTTGCATGGCCTATTGTTTAGACCGAAAAACGTGATTACAGAGGCTCGATAGTCTCTACTATTTGGGTCTTCGAGCGGTCTCTGGCGCGTTCAGAACAAGGAGTTGGCTAGCCTTTGCTGCTAGGTGGCGTGCTGCCGCCCGAAATTCAGTGGGAGTAGCTTACTCTCAGCTATGCGGCGGGGTTCCTTGCCAAACCGGGACATCAGCGTTCGTGTGCGATCCTTAGATGTCAGTATAGTACAATATACGAGCGACTTTTAAGAAAACGCTCCGGCGAAGCCTTAGGGACAGCAGGGAGGACACATGGCAGCGTACTCGAGCTATCTAGCTCCCTAGGTACTCCCAGTCATACTCGCCCGGGATGATCTCGCCATGTTAGCCAAGTCGTCCACTCCGCCATACCTTTACCGAGCTAAGTTTGTGGAGTTTTGGTACGCTGGTTTGACACACAAGCAATTACTTTTGTAGGGAAAGGTTGTTCGATATGTCTTAATTGAAGGGTGCAATTCCTTGGTTCCATTCAGAGAACGCGGAAAAATACCACCCGATTTGAGAATTGTGCTTGTGCACGGTAGTGAGTATTTGGGTCTCCTGTTTCGATTCTAGGATAAACGGGGTTGTTCGATTGTATGTAGTGATAATAGTTGTGTGTATATAGTTTGTGTTGAAAGTGAATTTATATCGAGCACCCCATCGACCTACAATTAAGTTAGTTGTATAATATGAATAAAGGTTATGGAGAAATATCGAGTACTCCACCACCCTAATTGAAAGGAGTGGTATGTAAATAGGAGTGAATATATTTAAGAATGAACATGAGTACGAATGGGTTTGGAACAGCCATGCGTTGGGTGCTGAATTTACCTAGCTGTTGACAGCACTCCCACCCGGAGCCTAACCTTGGTGGCTGGACGGATAAGATTGAAGTCTGCCACTGATTGCCAACACCCCATGGGTGATTCCCGAGTCTGCCGGAAAGCTAAAACAAAATAGAAGATAATACCATAAATCGGTCAAAACAAGTGAGAACATATTTTTGGTTGCAAAAGAAAAAAATCCGGCCATGGTCGATTCGATCAAAAATTTCCTTTCAGTAAAAGTGACATACATAAGCCCTAGAATCGAATGACAATAAAAATATGGGATTCTCATCTAATCTAAATAATGAAGTTATTGTCCTTTCCCAGCTAGAAGAGAGTTATGTTAAACAAAAATGACCATTTTTGCTAATGTTAATCGTTTCCGAATTAAATGACGACTATTGAAGTTTATACACTATAGCCAATAGGTAACCTTCCTCCATTTTGATCGGGCAGTTTGTCGACAAGTCAACTTTCCTTTTTTACTTAAAAAAATTAAACTTTTATACAAATGAACTTGCATTACAGATAAGAAATGGTCATATATCTTTTAAAAGAAACTATATAGAATGAAAATTTCAATTTAAAAAAATAAATGAATAAGGAAAGCTTTATAATAAGGTGTTGTAAAAAATAATATCGTTTGTTATACTTACTTTTTTGCTTGGATTTTTAATGTAGATCTGATGATGGGTGGAAATTCCCGAACATCAAAGCAATTTTTTTAAAACTTTTTATTTGTTTTTTACAACTGCATTCTTCGACGTAACAAGTAAAACAGGTAGTATTTACATGTAAAATTATTAACGGTAGCGTGAAAGCTTGAACAATTACCATCCAGTGATGGTAGCCGTTAGTTCGTCAATACGATGAGCGAGATGTACTCCATCGTAGGAGACAGATGTCAATTGTTAAGGTTGTCGCGGGGCCACCGACGCTTCAGTCTTCTGTTGGGATTATTAGGTAATGTGGTTGATGACAGGTTTTTGACGAAAGGGTTCTGATGGTGGAGTAGTTTGGAATGGAACGTTTTGTAGCGGGATTGGGCTAGCTCTATAACAAAAGGGACATTTAGGTCGGTATGGATGGTGTGATTGGATACATAGAAAGGGGCTTGTACTATTGTTCTGAGGATTTTTGATTGAAGGGATTGGATTCGATTGAGGTTGGAACGCTTAGCAGTACCGTAAAGTTCAAGTCCGTATGTCCAAATGGGGGCCAGGAGGGCAATGTCAAATTTTCTTTTGTTTGTTAGTGAGAGTTTTGATCGTCTGTCGAGTAGTCGTTTAAGCATGAAAAATCGTATATTACAGTCTGTGCGCTTAAGTCGTGTATGGGGGTTCCACGTCAGTCGTTTGTCGAGGTAGAGTCCGAGGTATCGTACATGGTTCGCAATTGGGATGGGAACGTTGTTGGGGTATACTGGTGAGAGTGTTTTCTTGTTTAGAGTAAATATTATGTTCGTTGATTTGGTTTCGTTGATCTTGATTCTCCACCGACGGAGCCAGCATTCTAGGGTGTTTAGGTGATTTTGAAGATTACGGGAAGCAGTGACAAGATCTTTATCAGGAGAAAGGATTGCGGTATCATCGGCAAAGGTGAAGGTGATAGTGTTGGGTTGCGTAGGTAGGTCGGAGGTATAAATTGAATAAAGGAAAGGAGCGGGCACGCTGCCCTGTGGGACACCTGCAAGAATAGGATGGATAGGAGACAATGAATTTTTGTGGGATACTTGGAAGTAACGATCGTTAAGATAGGATTTTAGGATAAGGTAATAGGTTGTTGGTAGGATGTTCTTGAGCTTCCACAGCAGCCCAGAGTGCCATACTCGGTCAAAGGCTTGGTGTATATCCAATAACACACCCGGGCAATACTGTTTTAGCTCAAGGGATGTGGAAATAACGTCGGTTATGCGATGTGCTTGTTGTACAGTTGAGTGGCAACTCCGAAAGCCGAATTGGTGATGGGGAATTGTGTTTGGAGGAATTTCCTTGGTCAAGCGGTTCAATAGGAGCTTTTCCAGTATTTTGCCAATAATGGGCAAAAGACTGATGGGAAAAGCAATTTAATGTAAAAATAAAGCAGGAAATGTATAAAAGCCAAATAGAAAAATTAAAAAACCACTAATTATATAAAAAGACAATAAGTCTTTAAAACAAACTATAATAACGAAAATTATATACGCGAAGACAGAAAATGACTATTTACAAAGAGGAGGATAGCGTTGTGATTTCTAATTTGAACGAAAACCGTTAACAAAAAGCTTCAACCGAAAAGTCCTACATACTTTTTCTGTAATTTTGCCAAAGGATGGGATTTTAGTAACTGATATTGAGAACCTCCAACAGGGTGGGTTTCCTTATGAAGTTATGGCACCTTATCACATACATCCCTACTTAATCATGATATAGTAAGTTGATGATTCAGCATCAGATTCTCGTCAATTTGGTTACAAAAATTGTGTAATGTACTGTTTTGTGTTAAATGTTGAAGTGTTATAGTGCGTGTGTCTTGAAAATATAAGATAAATAAAGCTCTATCATAAAAATTATTTTTATATGATGTTTTGTATTTTTTACTTAATGTTATTCGATGTTCTATATTTTATATTTATTGATATCTTATTTTACACTCTATTTATGCTGTCTGTACTAATTTTAAATGTTGTTTTGTACGTTTTATGATATGTATAAATCTTCCACTTATTTTATTTTTGTTTTATTAAATTTTATTTAATGTCTCTAAAGGCATTGCACTGTAAGTATATGTAATATTCATTTTAATCTTAATCCTGGGCAATTAACGAGCAGTCGGGATGGCCGGTCTATAAAATAGGTTGCGCCCCTAAGCTGTGAGGTAAGTTGCGTACTCTACTGGGCGTCCCTGCCAACTTGACAAAGGAAAGATTTAAGGACGAAAGAAAGCTCTGTTTTTATGTTTCCCGTTTCATTAAAAAAAATGTTTTATTACAATTTGGAGTTTTAATTCACATCAATTACATTCGCAAAACAATTGTAAAAGAATAATGATTGAACCGGAGTAAAGAATTTCAAAGGGAAGAAATCTTGTACCATTGCAATATCTTTTCAGTAATACATAAGCGAAAGTATTGAAACTAGTGAGAATGCTTTCCATTATTAATTTTTATTCCAACTCAACTTTAAATTAGTTGTTTCTGATCGTTTTGGTCGACATCCTTTGTGTTTGATGGGACCGACCTTCCAGCTCAACACCTCGTAGACCTGAACCGGAAATCTGTAATAGCTTGAAAGGTTGTCGCACTCAAAATAACAACGAAAAATAAGCGTTCACCGGTCATAAATGTATAGAGCATAATCACATCGATTATATAAGCTTGTTTCTTTGTTTAATGTTCATAGATTTTGTAGGTGTGGAGGCAGTTTATCATCTTGCAAGTTAAAATTTTTGCAAACTTAGTTTTTTATAATTAACAACTGCGAGAGTGAATGTTCAGACTATGAACATCATTTCAGCTTTTTTTGCTATTGGTGCTTCAAAAATTCGCAAATGTATATTATTACTCATTTGTCATTAAAGTTTCGATTAAAAAAGTTATTTGGTTTTATCTTAGCAATGAACAACCCCTTTGTAATTTGAGTCAAACAACTTTACACGCTTTATAAGAAAATTATCTCAGAAGGAGGATAAAAGTTTAGTTTAAAAAAATTGTTATTTGATAGTAATGTTCTATCTAATCATTATTCATTGTAACTTGTGTTTTATATAAAAGAAAGATTTAGTGTGTATTGCGAGATACGAAATTATAAAAGTATGCATAAAAAATTGCTATCGAGGCGACCAAATGCAAACTAATAATTTTTCTAGACTGGATTGACCCAAATTCAAAATTGAAAAATAATTCAAAATTCTACATACGGATAAGCAGTATTATCCCGGCGAACGACGGCAAAGTTTTCATAAACGAGACTTTTCCAGTGATGTACCCTTCGGCGAAAGGCACGGCCAAGGCCACTGCTCCTAAAAATACCAGGACGAGTACGATCAGCGCCCCGAGAACGGCGTTGGACGACTCCTGAACATATGATAAAAGACGAATTATTATTGATGTTTAATGATTAGATAATTCATTGCCGTCTTAGCCTCACACTATAGATTCCGACGAGGAGGGTGACCCCACCAAAGAGGACTAGGCCTGCAAATGTAAGTCCTGCTATCGACACAGGAGCTAAAACAAATGCCTGGTTAAACATCATGTATATTTTAACATACAATATTAATAATGTTAACACTACTTCAAACATTAGCACAAATCAGTATTTTATTGTTTACCACTTGGTTAATATATACATCTAGATCCATGCAAAATAAAACCACGTAAAATCATACTACCTATGAAAAAGACAATTTAATAAAACTATTGCTTTATTTTTGCATGTTTCACATCAGTATTGCATGCATTATCAGTACACAATAACAAAACTACAAATAATAAAACAAATTAAGAATTTTGAAGACACGGATTCTTTTCATTTTACTCTTAACAACTCTTAAATTAATAGCAATGAAAATAACTTAATATTTGCAATTCACATAATTATATAGTTTATTTATCGTGCCAACGTTTCGATCTTTATTGAGCCCTGAAGATGATCTCAATAAAGATCGAAACGTTGCACGATAAAGAAAATGTTTTTCTGAAACCTACATCACACCAGACTGCATCTCACGATTTCTGAACATTTATTAAATTTACATTTTGATTTCAACTTTTGAATGTTACCTACATATTATTTTATTATAATTCTTTGTTTATACATAAAATATTTTAAAATTAAATTTTATTAACTCCATGATGTTAACAAATGTTAAATATTTTTGGAAGAAGTCTCGTGCACCTTCCATTATAATTATAAATAACAAAATTACATATTAGAAGAGAACGAACTGATTTTCTCCTCGTGTTTAACATTATTAATAGCAAATTAAACTGCTCTTAACCATTAAATTGATTTCCTTCGATGTTAATGCTCACAATACCAATTCTCTTTCTTTTTGAGTACAAACTCAAAAATGTAATTATTTATTTCATCTGGAATTTCGAGAATTCTATGTATTGATAATAAGCATTATATAGTTGAACTAAATAAATATTTTTAGAACAGAAAAATGGTGAATAATTTCTTATATTACTAATAAATGTTTTATTACATACGTTTATTTGATTTTTATATACTTGAATACTATGTCTAGGTAGTACATCATTGCCTCACACTTCAAAAGAAAATTTTGCAAATTATCCTTTTTACAAAGGCAATTAATCTCCGAAAAAAGAAGGGCTAGAAACCTTTGGCAACGTACTAGATCAGTCATTGACGAACAAAATTACAACAAACTTGTGAATACATTGAATAAAGAAATAAAATTATTTAAACAACTATTATAGGAAACACATTTAAAAAGCTTGTCAACAAAGGATGGGAGTCTCTGGCTTAGTACTAAACATATCCTGTGTCATAGCTATGTCTCAGCTACTCTCAGTAATGATGATGGAACGTGGATCATTTCCGATAAATAAAAATCCAAAACATTTGGTATTCAAACCTCATAACTTAATCGATATTAACCACGATGAATTTAAATCAGATTCACTTATGACACCTATACCTCCTCTAGATCTGCCACTTAAACCAATCATTGCAAAACAAGAATCACAAGAAATGCGACATCTTCCTTAAAAAAAATCATCACCTGGTCATGAATTAATAACAACGGAAGTTGTTCAAGAACCTCCCAAAAAAGCTGTCGTCTTCGTCCTTCTGACTTCTTTATTTAACGCAATTTTGAGAACTACACACTTTCCCGTACGAAACAAATGACACCGCCATATTAACAAGTCAAACCTCTTTTACACAAGCTTCATTTATGTTAGAAAACCACACATTGAAACAATCGAAAAAGGAGCAATCTTTGAAAAACAAAGTTTAACCTCTCAAAATCCCAACATATCAACTTTACGCTGTCGTGGGATAAAATTCTATATTACATACTCAACCGACATAAAAATTACCATTAAAATCAAAACTTTAGACGTACACATATCTACTAATGGGGTACGGGCCTACTCAGGCTTTTAACCCCTCGGGTCCTGGTCGCCCGCCCTGTGTAATATATATACTCAAACCAATTTGGATGTACGGGTGCCAAGTTTATGGATCGGCCAAGTATTCCAATATTCAAAGATTACAAAGTTTTCAATCCAAAATTTTAAGACTAATTGTTTCAGTCCCTTTTTACATAAACAATAACAGTTTTTTCATTCATCAAAACATATTACAGACGTTTTCATAGTAAATTATAAAATCACACTAACACACAAATTCGATTACTCCATTCCCCACAATTCCCAAGTAAACGTCTGAAAAGAATATGGACAAGAGACCTCTTAAATGGTTAATATCATTTTATTAATCTCGAGCGGATGCCAGCTTTCTCTATAACGCCCGTAATGCCACAAACAATTATCCAATCTGCTGGTTGGGTATAATACATGTACAGTTGTAGATACAATTAAATGAAGTAAAACCAACTTCTGGGGAAATAGATGGCCAGATTTTCCACAGAGAAAAGTTAAAAAATTAATGAACTTCGTGGCTGCTCAAAAATTGGGCACTTGAGAAAAATATGTATTCCCATGTTTGTTGGGGTCGATCTTCACGTTCGCAGGCTGAACAGGTTGGTTGAAGCGTTGGAAGTATCCTGCATTTTTACCTTGTCCAGTAAGAACTTGGATTATTTTGTACGTATGCTTTATCTTCTTGTCCGTAAGAGTATCATTGACTGGAATAACTTGCTTGTGTGAGCACAGCTTTTCCATTCGAGTGGTTAGTCGGCATACCTCCCTCGAGAATTTTCGAGTCTAAGGTGATTTAATCTTGATATCGCAGCGTCTTATAACATTTGGTCCGCCAACTAGTTTCCCTGTTCTTTGATGAGCCCGAACCTATTTCTGCGCAATGTTTCAATTTTCTTTGCAGGTAAGGTTCTCGTTTTTACAGATATAATGCAGAACAAGTTTTCTTGTTTGCTCTGCATTATACCTCCGTGTTTTGGCAGATTTTAAAAGTTGGAAGGATGTCAGGTCATCACCCCAAATTTCTACTCGCTTTCGTCGGGTTGAGGTGAAGGTCTTCAATCATTCTATCTCCTTGAGGTGCCCCAGTAATTCCGCGTAGTTGTTGCTGCACCAGTCTGCCAGTTGAAATTTCTGGGAAAAGCAACCATTTTGGATTAATTGTAATACAAGACAAAAACAATGCCCACGTACCCACTTATTTTGTTCCCGTCCTTATTAAAAGAATGTTTAATATTTTCTACCCATAGATACGTGAATATGTTTCATTTTATCCCGTACTTGGGGAATATTTCGCTGGTGTTATGTGTTGTCGTATACAAGTCCATTTTACCTTTGAGGACCAACCTATTGGTTCTATATATCTGCAAACAGGCAAGAAAAAAGATAAAGCCTTTTATAACTCGCAAAGCGATCTTTCTTTTAAGCTCGAACAAAGGCTTCTCCACAAACAACAGCATCGTGTCGTAGCAAAATATCGATAGAACGGGATTCGGCTATATAGTACTCAAAGTTTCACTCCCAATAACCCAAAATAAACCTTAGCTGATTTTTGCAGGGCATGTATAACTTGAACCTCATAAGCCTATACAACCTCTCTCAGGCTATACTCTCCAAAATTCCGATCACAGATAATTTTGAATCTTTGTAGGTATTCCTTATTTTTTCCATAAAAATTCCTGAAAAGCTTGGTCTCTTTTGAGGTAGTCTGGAACGCTTACGTTATTTAGTGACTCTATAGTTGGAAGTAATTTTTTGTCAGACTATTCCTCTATTATGTTTGTGTTTTTTAAATTTATTTGTTAATTTTATACCCCCACGCAATAATCTTGTGCTAAGAAAGTTTATTTCCTGATCTAAATTGTTATTTCATGGAAATCAAATAATTATTACTTCAATTAATTAAATTAACATTTTAGATTTTAAAATTCGATTTATACACTTCATTAAATTTTGTCATAGTCAATGGAATTTATAAACATTACAAACTCATCAAAGCGGTTTCTCAAATATCTAGGAAAGAGGTTGATTTTTCCCCACATAAAACCACTTTTCTTATCAGTAAACTTTGCCGTTATTTAAACAGTGGGTAATCGAAGACAAGGTCCTCTCACGCTTGCCGGTGCCCGAATTGGTGCCTAATCTATGTCTATCTAGATCGAATCTATGTTTTCAACCGAACTTGAGTCTTTTTGTGCATGTGTCTTATCTACTTGACCATTCGTACGGCCATTGAATTTTCTTGCGTGTAATCCATTTTCAGTTGTGCTCCACAGCTCCCTCCGTTGTCTGGGAACATACGGCATTCTTCCTAGAATGAGGTAGAAGTCAGGTACGTTGCTATTCGATAATGCAGCTTCATTTGCCATTTGGTCGGCCAAATCTTTCCTAATAGCTTGAAACTATATCAGCGCGATTATTCTGTTCTGATTCAGTTCCTTGCAAGTTTTCTAATTTTCTCTGCATGGGATGTCTAAATCTGGGCGCACACTAAGTCAGTGGGGCAGCGTGGAATTGTGAAGGTCCGCACACTATGTAGGAACCGCTCTCGGCCGCGTTGATCGAATTTTACCCCTCCATCTGACCACCGCTGCGGTTTAGTGTTGATTTTGCATTTCCAGGAGTCCCCACGTCACATTCGTTGGCTTCGTTTTTACAAATATGGCGTCCGAGGGCAGCCGAATATACCCGAACTCAACGATTTTCAACCGCCCCGGCGTACACTAGGCAAGTAGCGCGGCGCGGCGTGGAGCCGGAGGAAGTTGCCAGACTTCTGCAACCCGGCTCCTCGCCGCGCCACCGACCTAGTGTGCGCCCAGCTTTATAGGCACAGAGTAGCCGTACATCCCACAGGAAGTGAGAGAAGCCCTTAGCCGTTTAGATTGACTTTCTGATAATTCCTTTTACCTTCCTATTAACAGACTTAATACTATATAACTACGATAAAAACGAAATAATGTCGTGAACAATATATTTAAAATAAACACTAATGAACTACTTATTCTGTTATCCATTAAATGATAAATTTTGTGTCCATTATTTAACGTAAGAATGAAAGGATCCTTTTTCGTGCATAATAATCTATTTCCTACTGGTCAATAACAAGTATAATCTGTTTAAATAAGTTTTACCACATTTCGTAAGGCGAACAATATTTCACTTTAATACCTAACACATACCTAGTTTTCAATTGGAAAGAAAAATCTCTACATTTTTGCCAAATGCGAAAATCTATCAAATTCTTAATTAAAGTATTCATTGTAAAGTGTAAAGATTCGGTTTTCTATTACACATGTGTATTCGCGTTTAAGGCTGTATTGAATTATTTTCAATCATGAATTTATTATGATTGAATAAGCAATTTAAATATTTACGTAATACCTTTTTTTTAACTGAGGCATGACCACTGACCCCCTCTCTCTATTTTCAACGTTAGTATACAAACATTACTATAAATTTACGAACCATGCCGTCAAAGATCTTTTCTAGTAATTTTTTTTGTATTTGATTGCATTGCGACATGCACTAAAATGCACAATTATGATAACTGAGCAAAACTTGTTCTCACACATTTCGATTTTGGCACGTAAGAAACGATTGATTATGCATTATGTTAAAAATTAGTCAATTACGTGTGAAGACATCGTTGAACGTAGCAGCTAGATAGATAATCCCGGCGGTTGAAGCAAGCTATTAAAAAAGAAGATTGTAGCTCTCATCTTGTTTATTGAACTTGTTAATTGACTTACTGTTATGACCCATCCAAAAATTTTGCTCCCTGTCGTTACCGAACACATAAAACAACACGTTCTCACGCGGATACAATTCATTTTGTCCGCTAAAATAAAATTGGAAAAATAAAAATCTTTTATACACAATACACATTTGTTTTCAATAATCACGAGTGTTCGCCATTTAAATATATTTGGCATTCATGTGTTTAATATTTGATCATAAAATCATGTGATGTTTTATCTAATAGCTGATGTCTACTGCTGCCCAACGATGTTCTACTACTAATCAATCATTTGAAAGTGTCAAAGAAAAATGTTCAAACCATATTTAAAATTAAATGATGTTACTTTGCAGTATATGTACTATACGTCTTATTGTCTATTGCTATTGTCTTATTTAATATATATTTAGGGAAATAATGATTATAACTTTACGAAGAAAGAGTTTTATCAAACAAAATATAAATTATTAATTAGAGATTAATAAAATTAAAATACACCTTTAAAAATAAAGTTTTGGATTTAACGATAGCTGATAATATCTTAGCTGCAACTAGCATGTCTCCGAAAAGGCTCAATGACTCTGAATTGAAGTAACTCCATACAACAAGTGAAAAAGAGATAACTGCTCACATGCTAAACCAAGCAATTTTCATATAATTTGAAGAACGTTGTCTAGTTATTAGGTTTGTTGTTTAGTTATAAATAACAATTCAATTTCTTATCTATAGAGAGCGTGGTTATGCCTATAGCGAAATCGTTAGCTTCCCAAAAAAAATACCATACCATTCTTAAGCTGGGCGCATACTAGGCCGGTAGGTGGCGCGACGCAGCGCGTAGCCGAACTTGGAGAAGTTGCCACACTTCAAGAAGCTCCGCGCTGCGCCTTGCCACCCTACCGGCCTAGTGTGCTCCGGGGCGGTTGAGTTCGGGTATATTCGTCTGCCCTTGGACGCCATATTTGTAAAGACGAGGCCAATGTGTAGCTTTGTTTACCCTGCTTTTTGGAATAGTAGTAGCATTGTTTCATGATAAGTTTGAAAACAAGATCATTTCCACAAAAATAATGGTGATATTCTCCAAACGTTAGGCGTTTGGTGTTTATTTCATGTGCCTACGTTTTTCGTTTTCATTTCTGCCTTTCTTCCTCATCTTCCAACTCTATGACCGCGACCAGAAAAATAATTTCCTCGTCACTACTATTTATTATGAATATAATTATTGTCACGGGGAACTCCTACAAATGCAAAATCAACACTAAACCGAACACTAGTCAGATAGAGGGGGGAAAAATACGACCAACGCGGCCGAGAGCGGTTCCTACATAGTGTGCGGACCTCCACATTTCCGACCCGCGCCGCGCCGTCCCACCGTACTGGTGTGCGCCCAGCTTTAGACGACCAGTGGCGTTCAAACCTTAGAAGAAAAATCCGCTTTCTTAATTTCTAATTATTGCAATTGAATTCAATGTATTGAAAAATTCTACAAAATAATTGAGGAAGGAACCACATGGACACCTTTTCGCCCATCTCCCTACCCTTTTCCCAGGTAACTTTTCTCACTCCTTTTGTGAAACTCCTGGCGTAGCCATCTATTCTTGAGGCTCAGGTAATTTTCAAGTTTTAATTCTCTTCTTCTGTAAGAATATATCTCTGCAAATCAGAAGTGAATATTCTAACTCGCATTATTTTTCTTAACAAGTTTGGTTCTCCGGATGCGAATTTATTGGATAAATTTAATTCCCCCGTTGTTCATGTCTATATTTCTTGAATTATAATTAATACTTTTGTATTGTATATAATTATTCATTCATAAAAGGGTATGTTGCAAAGAGATAAATGTAAAGGTTAATTTATAAGTAGTATTCCATTACTATTTTATAAATTAATAATTTAACATTTTAAAATATTTTTTTAACATTTTAAAAGTAATTGTTTAACATTACTATTTATAAATACTATCGAACGCAGATTGGGTTCTATCCGATTGAAAATCTATTGGAATTCCTTCGATCACACTCATAAAATGAATATGCATACAGGGATGTCGGTTCATTGCACTCATTGGTTCTGCTCACAAAAACATGTAAAGGACGCAATTGCAAACCTAAAATCTCGAAAGTACCCTCTATGTTCGCGAACCAGTGGCGAACCAAGTTCGTCTTTAGTGTGTACGCTTCTGCGCTCGGAGCGAGTTCGTGAACATTCAAGAGCGTCCCAACGGCTGTCGGATTTTGGGCGAACTCAAAGGGGAGCGCAGTAGGTTCGTGAACGGTAGTAAGGAACGTTTTGTAATGTGAACAGCTTTTGTAACTTACGATCACACAGTACAATCTCCAAAAGCCGAAAAAATGTCTCGTTCTTATCGAACTGTTCCAAAATTATTGTGGGATCCTCAAGATTCCAACTATAAAAAAAGACCCTGAAAGAAGTCGCATAGCGAGAAATTGGTTTAAAAAAAATAATTAAATTGGAAGTCATGGTTAGCTCTCCTTTTATAGAAATTTGCTAACCAAAAACTATAATCACTATTGCTAGGCTTTCTATAATCTAAAGCCAAATAGTGGATGAATATATATGCTTCACTAGCCAAATTTCAACATGTCGAGCCATAAAGTCGACGACATGTCAATTGTTCCACGTTCGGGTGAACACTGTGGATCTCTTGGGGAGCGCACTTGATGTATTTACAGGATCGCGGAGCGCTACTGGTTCGCGAACAGAGTGGGTACGCAGTTTCAATTTCGACCTTTGTAATAGTTGTTCTTCCCCAAGTTCACCTGACGCTGACTTCCCAGTTCAAAATTAAAAAGGCGTAAATATGTTATCCCTGAAGATGGTGGGAATCACTGGCCCAATTGCGTCGATATTCTTCTCGTGAGTGATTTTCTGGTTTTACAGTTCAATTTTTTTTTGTTAACAGTTCAATATCCCCCAATATCAATTACCCAATTCTGGATGGAAAAAGAATTTACAATATTTTGAAAAAGAAACAAAGAGTAAAAATAAATTTAAGTCTTTTCAGAGGATCTAAGGAAGAGGTCAAACACAGAGAAAACTTCCTTTTGGTTTTTCCCGAGCTTTCGACAGTTTTTATACTGTCATCTTCAGGGCCTGTTTTATTATCATATAAACAAACAAACAATTAAAACATGAAAAACCCGTTCGTCCGGGGAGTCGAACTTGGAAAGGAGATTACTGACCGAAAAAGTATATATCAGTGTCACCCCAAATACTTGTAATCTACAAACCGATAGGTTGGGATCCATTTCGGTCTATGCAGGCCTCCTAAACGAATACAAAAATTCTAAGCAAAGGAGGGATATGAGAACGTCGCCCTAGTGGCGGAATTTGTTAACCAGGGGAGAAAAAACGAGTTTCTCCCATAGCCTTTGTTTTTGATTTGTGATCTTATTGTATACATATATATATATTGTATACGTTTTTTAATTTTTAATTTTTATTGTACTTTTAGTTGTAATTTATAATTATTAATTTATTCAGTTTAAATAATGTTTAGATGCTGAGCGCCAAAAGACGTAATGTACTTCTGTGCCCAAAACACGATGTCTTTTATTTCCCCATTACGGTTTAAGTAAGATATTTCAATTCTTGTGCAATTTGTTTTTCATGTTTTAATTGTTTGTTTTTTTATATGATAATAAAACAGGCCCTGAAGATGACAGTATAAAAACTGTCGAAAGCTCGGCGTAAACCGAAAGGAAGTTTTCTCTGTGGTTGACCTCTTCCGTAGATCCTCCGAAAAGACTTCATGTTTCCAGCAGGTCGATAATCTAGCTCATCGTTAAAAATAAATTGATTAATTGTGGTTTTAGTTTAGATAAAAAAGTCAGTGTCACGAGCGGGATTCGAACACACGATCTTTCGCTAGATACGCCGCTGCTCTACCACTTGAGCTATCGTGACGTCGATCCACTCGGACACTAACTTCCCTTCTCAACCCCTGCTTTTTGAATTTTCCCTCCTTTTTGCCATTTTTCAAATGTCGTGTAATCTATTTGATTATCGGCGACAAATTAAATGGCCACGGAAAGCTTTAGTGAAGATATACTTCATTTTAAACTAATTAAATTCGCTAGTTTTTTTAATTGGTCGAGCGGACCACGAAACTAGTCAACTAAAAATAAAGTCAGATTACGCAATAAACATTTAGTAAAACTTATTACATATGTATGAAGTGCATTGTATTAGGATTTGAACATACATTGAACTGAATTATGTTAGGTACATGCTGAACGCATGATTTAATAATTTGTATTCAATTAAAAAGCCAAGTCGAATCACAGATTAAAATTATGCAATATATGCAGTTTTTGTATCCATTTTCTTTTTTTTTTCGATTTGTCATATTTTTTACTTATTAGTTAGTGTATAATAGAAGTTCAACAATATCTTAAATTCTATAGTGTTTAGATTATGGTGATAATTGCAATAACTGATGATTCGTTGACCTCGACTTTTAGCCAATTTGAAATTCATGAATTATAATTAAAATAAACGTATATACGTATGTACCTTTCACCATCAATGTTCTGAATTTCGAAGCGAGGAGAAAACAAGTATTCATAAAACCTTGAAATCTGTTACTCCGTTGTGTTGCTGTCGTCGAACGCTAATCGGTAATATCGGTAGCTCCTTAGAACGAGGAGGAAGTAGTACATGAGCCCTGGAACAATGCCGAAGATTAATGTGACCGGTTTAGCACGAATTAAAGCTACACTTGCCATCCCAAGATAAAAGTAGTATCATTACGGGTATGGGTTGGTGTTTTAGCCAGCCGACTAAACCACCTATTCCAATAGCGAGGGATATTAAAGCACCAAAGATGACTGCCCCCAATAAAGCATAATTGTTCTTTTCCATTAAATCCATCCGGTCCTGTTTGTATTAACTATTAAACGTTTCTAATGTGATTAAGAGCTGGTATAATTAGATCTCACCAATTTATAAGCAACGAAACTTATAACCCCGACAATGGTATTCCAAATGAAGTACAAAATGCAGAGGACAACGGACCAATCTAAATACAAAAGGCAAATCAACGATTTTCGTTTAGGTAATGAGCTGTCGGTCGTTTACCTACGGAGCCGTGGACGATCTGATTCACTTGCATGAAAATTCCTATCAGGCCGCCAGCCTGATTAAATGTTTTCTTTGTTGTTATTTTCCATATTGACGGAAATATTGTAAATACTTACGGCCATGATCCAACCAATGAGTTTCCCACCGCTTTGTAGCGATCTGATGACACAGCAAGTGTCGACCAGGCACAACATCTTGTTGCTTTATTTCGAAATGCATTTCATACAATACGGCTTGTAAAAAAAATATTGTCCCTAATGATCAGTACACATATGATTATTATACATCTGTGGCAGTTTTTATTTAAAAAGTACATATTAATAATAATCATCGTAATATTCCGCCTCTTCTTCGTCTTGCTTTTCGAACTTGTAACTGTTAACTACGATCATGAAAACTGATATAACGCCTAGAACAAAAACGTACGCACATATTGTGTGTTTTATAGCAAATGAATAATATTGAAATATTGTAAATAATATTGTAACATACTTTATAAATAATATTATATGATAACATTATTATAAATATATCGCTTACAATTGTATACGCCTAGTCCTATAACTGGAGCATAGCAAGCGGACGTCATCTCAATGTGCATAAACGCTATACCTAGTCCAATGCCTGCAAATATTGATAACAAAATCATAATCCAAAATATGCAATAAGCACCATCCAGCACTGTGACGCTCTCCTGGAATTATTTTGATAATTAATTTATAAACTACTTTGTCGTTGACAAAACCCTTTGTTGCTGACCGCCCAAATCCCCAGGAGAACACAAAATCCAGCTGCCAATAAGAAGAAGAAAAATATCACTCCGGGGGAAAACATAGCAATTTCTGGAAAAAAGGAACATTCATTTGGAAATCTCCGATGGGTCAAAACATCACAAATCTAGAACTATTGGAGTATTGGGGCGTATTTGGTTTAAAAATCTAAAAAGGAAACTGCCATACGAATTCATTCACGTTTATTAAGCACTTTGAACCTTAAAATTTCTAAAATAAATTTCTATTCGTCGCTTTATATCGAATTTAAACATAAGTCTAGATATGTCTGATCCAGACTTTGTCGTTTAGTATTTACCTAAAAATGACCTGGAATGCACCAAGAACCGCGCAATAAAGGTCAGACCTATAGCACCTTGAATCTAAGGACAAACAGCAACATGAAAAATGAGAATTCAACATGATTCTTGAAGACATACGACGCATAACCAACCGACGATGTGGCTCCAGACCCTGACTGATAAGCAGCAACAACTCCTTATCCGACAGCATCGAGAACAGCCCATTATTCAAGTTCACTGTACAAATAAAGGCGATAGGAACAGATGGCGCATCGGCATTTCCCACATGATCAATAACATCTAAACGTTTCCTGTTTAACATCTCATAGTTTACAAATTTTCAAATTGGTATTAGAGTTGCAATTCCCAACGTGTGAAAACAATTAAAAATTACATTAGCTGAGGGTGGGAAATAAATTCTAAGTGTGGCGGCACTTGTTGTAAATGATTGGAAATAAGACTTCCAGGAGTATAAAAAGTCACTCCCCTCATTCCGGCAGCTGCAGAAACTCGTTTACGCAGCCTTACAGTTTTCGGGCCCATAACCCGTACTGCTCGGCGCCCACTGGGCCATAGTACTTTGACTAATGGCAATTTTCTCGTGATTTTAAATTAAATGAAAATAAAACTTTGTGAAATATGGTACCAACTACCTATCACTTACCACAATAAATACCATTCCAGTCGGCAGTTGACGACAGAATTTGTTTTCACTTGTGCTCTCTATGTATGAATTCTCCTTGCTTGTGTAAGACAGATTCAAATTGTAAAAATGAGTTCCTTTGATGTAAATGTGGTATCCTTTTTGCAACGCAAAATTTAGTAGACACGCATAAATGTGACGCTGTCGCATCTACTAGCTCTCGTCAGCGAAGATGTAGGGAAGAATGTATTGAAAATTCTATGGACCTAGAGGAGGTAATTCGATTGATACGTGTTCGATGTGGGCAATTGTTTCTCACTTCTGAGGACAGCGAAATACCTGAAACTGACAACTGTACCCTTCGGCATGTTGAATTATGTTCCAAATGAGATAGTCTTTTTCCAAATTACCATAATTTACAAAGACACGAAGAAAACTATAGTCTACTACAAATTCCATTGATAAAAGTTGAAACAAAGAAAAAAGAATTCTAAAGCTGGACGCACAGTAGGTTGGTGGGGCGGCGCGGCTCGGTGCGGAATTGAGAAGGTCCTCACACTATGTAGGAACCGCTCTCGGCCGCGTTGGACGGATTTTTCCCCTCCATCTAAACGCTGCGGTTTAGTGTGGATTTTGCATTTCCAGGAGTCCCCACGACACTTCGTCTTTAGAAATATGGCCTCCGAGGGCAGCCGAATATGCCCGAACTCAACGATTTACGGCCGCCCCGCCGCGCTACCTTTAGCCCTTCCTTCGACCATTGATGAATATGAAACGCATTCGAAGGTCGCATTAAATCTTTTTTCCTTCGCTCTGAAAATAATTTTGATTTAACCTCTTTTTACAAACAACGTAAAACCTAAGATTTTTAATAAAATTTCAGGTTTATTTCGAAACTGTAATTCTTTAAAAATCAATTTTTTAGTAGAATGTTTTTTTCAAAGCCAACATAATGAAAGGACAGACCGAGCATTTAAGACGTTGAATAAAGCTGATTCGTATCTGTCGATGGTATAAGAATAAGGGTAAATAAACAATGTACTTTGAAAACTGGCCCATTAATTCCCTTACCGAGATCAATAAAAAATAACTTAAGATTTTCGTCGGGTAGCGTCGAGTACAGTCGAAGACAAAAGAACCGGACACTCATATTTTTATTCAAACTACATGTATTATTGTCGTTATATTAATTACAACATACTTATTTTAATATAGATCAAATTAACTGTGATTAAAAATCAATTAGTTTTTATTTAAAAAATTAATTTTAATGGTTTGGTAGAAAATTAATCAAAACACCAGAATACGATTTTTTGATATAATGAATTTAACTAACAATTTATTGTACTCGCTTCGGTGGTACATATACTAAAATTGGAACAATTTATTACACGGTTTTGCTCATAAAATTTAATTAACAATTTATTTCATATTTTTGCTCGTAAAATTACACCATTTTCTAATGTCGGGTAGCATCAGAACAGGACACTCATATTTTTTGTAGTTTATTTCAAACTAAGTATATGTAATTTTGTCGTTATATTGATTACAACATGTTATTTTAATGTAAACCAAATTAAACGAGATCAAAAATGCATAAGTTTTTATAAACATTGTTTAATTATGATGGTTAGGAGTAACTTTATTTAAAACAATTAAGTTTAACAAACAATTTATTAGATGGTTGTGCTAATAAAATTTAACTAACAATTTATTACAAGGTTTTGCTCAAAATAGTGCATTAAGAGCAAAAGATGCGTTGGGATTGTGATCGTGATTATTGTGACAAACGCTGCGGACTGTACGCGACGTGTACTTACGCCGGATAGATGTGCACACCCCACCAAAAGGTTGCAAGGTGTCGGGTAGCATCGGGTAGCGTCGCATGGCGTAGCATCGGGTAAGTGTGTTTCTGGCATAAAGTTCATATGCGCTGAACTCTTCGCCGATTGTTGATTGTCCTATTGTCGATTAACCGTTGAAACGGAAAGTTACTCCATATTCATTCAACAACTTTCGACAATGTCCTACTGACTGCGCCAGTTAAATAATTTCTTGCGTTAAATGCGTTTTTAAAAACTTTTATTCGAGAAATTCCAAAAAAGGACATTCAGTTTCTTCTAATTTCCTAATCTAAATCAAATTTCTCCGATATACCTTCTGGAAAATCTAACTTAAGACTATGTTGTTATGTGTTAATAAAAATGCTTACAAAATCTCTGGAGTGAGAGAGAGTGCCAAATTTTAGAAACGACACCTGTATTGTCATCACCATCACCTCATTTATGTAATAAAATAGTTATACTCTTATATATATATATATATATATGTGTGTGTGTGTGTGTGTGTGTGTGTGTGTGTGTGTGTGTGTGTGTGGGTGTGTGTGTGTATGTGTGTATTTCTTCAAGTAAGATGTAAATTAAATGATAAAGACGAATTTAATTAAGAGTAGGTATTATGTAATGTGCACCGAAATGCTTTTCCTCTGGCCTAGGACGTCCTCTCTCAGATGACGAACAAAGACTAAATTAAAAATTACCAAAAAATTCAGTTTAAAATTGATCCATTTATTTTATTTCATTTTGCAGTAGCGAATTACATAGTGGGTGACAGAACAAAATTGAAAATTGAGGGGGAAAATTGGAGAAATATGGATAATAAAGGAAGGAGGAATATAGAAAGTAAGAGACATGTGGAGCGCGTTCCCTCTTATCTCCTGTTCACGGATCATCAATTTCTTTCTCGTCTGGAAATATGCTCTTCAGTCCTGGGTCTAATCTAGGCCCAGGGCCTTTCATTGCCTTAACACCCCGCCTCCCTATGTCATTGGGCCATTCACAGACAACAGACGACGAGTCAGGAAAGGAAATGTACCGGCAGCTGTAGATGTCGTCAGGCCGTTTTCCACTTGGGAATATTCGTTTCTGCGAGGCTAAAAACCTCATTAGCATGATCAATTACTTTAATGTAGTGTTCTTCTCAGTGAATACAATTGCTGACATCCCTCAGTCATACGAATTGGCTCGACAACTACTGACATTTTTACAAATTTATTAGATCGAAATTTCTGCCTCAATCTTGGCCACCTTAATATAATATATTAAATGTGTGATCGTTAAAATAATTCTACAGTACAGTATATAATTTCCTCTCTAAAGACCATCTTCCAAACCATATCCAAACGTCACGCTAGAAGCATTGATAACAATCCCTTCCTATAACAGAACTGTCTACCGGTTAATGGTGAATCGTCGAATACAACTCTCATCTTTCCGATCTTCCAGAACCCTTCCCAAACACATATCTCTCTGGTCCGCTACAAAGAAAAAACCCTAATTAAAATATCAAACAATGGATTCCTCCATCCGTTTACTTCATAGATTCTGGTCAGGAGAGACAATGATAAATCTGTCAACTTTGTTTAGATGGATAGTTGTAAATAGTGTAAAAGAAAGTTTATTTTTTAAAATGTATTACAGTTATTTCATATTATTAGACAGCGCATGCGCATACATAGAAGAAAAACGGCGGCAACACCGGAATGATTAGCAACCCTGAAGGGATGACAGTGACGTAGGCTGAGCGGAGACTACGCAGTACGCACTACGCAGTTTTGTAGTTAAAAACGGCGTCTTTGAAAGGAGCGACTTTGATTAATTAAACTCTTACAAATTTGTTGTTTACTTTTACTAATCCTTTTACATTTCAGAGGACGGAGCATAAAGGCGAAGTTAAGGACAAAGAGTTCATAGAGGCGATTTATAGTATGTGGGTTGGCGAGAGATCAGATCGGGAAGTCTTCTTGAAACTTATCGAGTAAAGGTGAGATGGATTTGGCTTCTTCAGGCGAATTTCAAGGTAATGGCATTTTCCGGTCCTAAACCAACTGAACCAACGACCAGCTGAACTGTGCCGGAGCAGTTATTACGCAGTTGTTAGATGGCGCCTAGCGGAATAGTTCAGGCGGACAGTTCAGCGACAGCCGGCGTTGGTTTTGAGCGAGATGTGCGATTCGTCGAAGTCGACTCGTGCAGGAACTTACGGCTCTACTTTTGAGTGATATCAATTCCCGGCCATCATCGATCCCTTTGACCCGGATGATTCCGAAGACATTGTCAGGTGGCCAAATAAAATAGACCAACTTGGGCGAATTCGTGGATGGTCTGAGAACGAAAGGACCATAATGATGCAGTAGAAGTTGTCGAAAGCTACTAAGAAATATCGTCTTGAGATGTATGAGTTGACTTGGGAGGAGTGGATCCCTCGGCGATACTATTTTGCTGCTGTCCTGGAGGTGTTGGTTCTGAGGCGTGAAGAACCAACAGAGACCATGACACAATACTATCAGGCAAAACTCGAATTGTCCAACTTTTCCCAACCGTTACATTAAGGTTTTCGTTGGGGGGGCCGCGGTAGCCGAGTGGTTAATGCGTCAAACTCTCGGCTAGGAGATCCCGCGGTCGTGGGTTCGATCCCCAGCGTCGCCTCTGGACTTTTTCTGACGCCTAAGGGGACCGGTGGCCCCAATTGAAAGAAATTGACACGGCACTCATCAATGAAAGGGGCGGGATCGGATCTCAGCGACCCTGAATTTGGTCCCAACCCCCTTTAAAAATGAGTTTCTTCGATGGAAGAACACCGGTACAACGGGGGCTCAAGTTCACATTTGTGTTGCGAGCCCTCCCCCAAAATGTGCAGCCATGGATAAAGTACAATAAGCTGTACAGCTTAGCTGCAGTGCTCAGGAGGGAACTCCTCCAGTCCCTGGTATCCAAGAAAAAAAAACATTAAGCAATTTTTTATACTTAAGTTAATCAATTCTGCCTGTTCGGCCTGGTTCCGCTCTCTTGGAAGTCTCACGCACACCTGAGGAATCCAGCCAACTGTCAGAGGAATATGGTGCTCTCGCGGCCGCTTCCACCGCGAAAGCCAGAAGACACAGGCGGGCGCGTGACAATATTATGTGCGGGGTCC